AGGGAAAACACTGCATATAGCATAACAGCAGAAACGGAGGGGGGCTCAAACCTACCTACTCTCTGCCTTTGACACACACACACACACACACACACCCTCACACACACACACACACACACACACACACACACACACACACACACACACGTTGACAGACACTACAGCGGCTTTCGACCCCCACATTTGTTGTTATCTTGGAGCATCGGTGTTCACCACCAACATTGCTTTTACCCCTTACAGTGTTCATATCCATATGAATGTGTGCAATAAGGCAGTTTAATGTTGTGAGAAGTCAGGTTATGGGTAATAAATGGGACAAATATTGACTGCTCGCTCACCCCTGCCCAACCTTATTGACTGCTGCTGTGCCTGTCAAGCTTTGCATTCATGATTAAAAAATGTAACACTCAAACTCAGAAGTGGCTTCAGTGGCGTCAGTTTTCTAACTTAAATAACAACGTACAGATCACATAAGCAAATATCATCTCCAGTAACTATGCTAAAAAAAAAAAAACTAAAAAAAAACACACTTTAAAACATTTGGTAGTGAGCAGACCGACTCAATTAAGAGTCGGTCTGCTCTGATGAGTGCAACTCGTCTGCAATGTGCATCTTTGCAATAGGGGACTTGTCTCAGTTGGTTGGCAACTGGTTGCATTCTGGTTGTAAAGTGGTAGCAGACTGATTCTTATTTTTTTATCATGTTTTTGACAGACCAAGTTGCTTTGAACATGGCAACTAACTGCATGTGGATGCAGACTTGGCCCCTGTCTTTGAAGCAACCATTTCAAAAGCCACGAGACTGCAGGTTCATAACACATGGTTGGGATGATTTTGGTCTGTTTGACTGACTGGCGATTCTGGAGTGGCAATTCACCCAAATTTCATAAAGCTGCTAACTGCGGACGCCAAACTGTTTAAATGCTGAGTAGCACTACAGCCACAGCCCATTCACTGCATGTTCTTTCAGCATGTGCAGGAATGCAAAGCTTGACAAGCCTCTTAAGGGATGGGGAGGGTTTAGGGATGGGTTCTTGGTTATTTTATTATGGCATAAATGCCCAGAGTGTAATTCAACAGCTCGTGCTGGTGGTTTCTGTAGTCAAAATAATATTTCCTTTGATTTTATTACTAATTAAAAATGACTTCATATTGCTTGCACAAATTTAAAACCTAAAAAAAACCAAACGAAACAAAAAAAAAAATCATCTGTGGTCAAAAAACACAATCAGGGTGTTTGTCTCGTGTCTCCAGAGTCAGGCACAACTTTACAGGCATGTAAACGTAAACATATGTAGGCATTTAAAAAAATAAAACCTAAATGAAAAAGACAAATATTTAAAATGCTGACTGAAAGAATATATCTCATACAAAAAAAGGGAGGGGACTTTTTAGACTTTTAAATTAAGTGCAGTTTTTCCTTGTCAGAGAGCATGGGAGATGAGGGGCTTGTGAAACTGGTGCAGATTGGGTAAAAAAAAAAAAAAAAAGCCCAAACCCTCAACATGTGATCAAAGACTGACAGCTCTCACTGAAAAAAGGGACTGAACTTCCAAAGAAACACAACACCCTCCCTTCCCCTCTCTCCTTCCATCTTCCCTTCACACACCTACGCCTGCCGCCTTTTTCGGCTCGGGTGACAATAATGGATCCTGGCGGAGTTGCGACAGGAGGATCCAAACGTTAACAGCTTTGTGTTATGTCATGAATGTCTGATTACCCCCCCACCACCACCACCACCTAACATCACACCAATACGGTGCTACTGACTTTGCGTAAGACATCCCATGTGCTCTATAAGAACAGAGCAACGTGTGAACGACTAATGTAAGGCGGAGAGTTGTGTGTGCAAAAACAAGAAGCAGGTTGTATAACTTATTTATGCAAACGCTTTTTAATTAAAGGGCGTGATGAATCGTTGTCACCTGCTAAGCTTGTCAACTTCCCATTATATTCACAGAGTTCAGTAAGCACCGTGCCGACGCCTGATTACAGGGTACTTACAAACAGCATTATAGAGGCAATGGGATGGATGGTCATAAGCAAAGAAACAGCTTTGTAATTATTTATTTACTTATTTATGTATTGGTACGTTTTTAGGATAATCCCGATGATCTGCGTGCAGAGCTTCTACATAAATAAATTACGAGAGCCGAAATAGATCAAGCGTGTGTAATTGCATTTTAAAATTGCAAGACTTCCATTAAGTTGGAGCCTCCAAATAAACCCTTCTAGTTTCACGTGTTTATATGGAAATACATCTTTTAAGCTCAGGCCCCGCCTTGCTGGTGATCTCTAAACAGTCCAATCCATATTTTATATATTCTGGGCGGAAAACTTGAAAACAAAAGGTCCCCAAACCGTGTCGATTGTGCTCTTTCGGAATTTAGCTTCAACTTCAGATCTGGCCTGTCACCCACCCAGACCAATGTGAATCTGAGTGATTCTTTCTTTATGTCTGCTAACGCCTCATTATGTGTATAACCGTGTAATAACAATGCGTGTTCTGAGGTAGTCTTACATTCACAAAGAAGGAGAAGTTGATAATAAGACGTGGACCCTTCACATGCAGCAGGTCTAAGGAGCAAAAAAAGAAAATAAGAACCATAACAAGTGGGACTAGGTAGCGTTCTCCCTCCTAATGGCTTCTTATGTTCTTTGATGTTGATCTGTGTATGTGACTCCTGTTCTGCAGCCTCCTGCCACTGTTTGCGTTACATTCAAACAACGAGACGCTGCAGTGATGAGACTGGACAATGAGGGTTTAAAGCTGGTGTGTGATTGGCTTAATGGAAGGAAGTACACATGCCTCCTCTCACTGACTGACAAAGTGTCTTGCTTCAAAAGTCTTGGAAGGGTCACGAAGAAAAACAATCTGTGGGGGGGAGGGGCAAGTAAAGTATCTAGTGCAATGCCCTTTGACATCTTTCTTTGTCTTTGCAAACTGAAAAGGAAAAAGATCAAATTTTGCCTCAGGGAACAAAAAAAATCAACTATGTATTACCATGGTTATGGAAATAATTAGCAGAAAGAGGCATTTTTCAGAGCCAGACCGCAGGCGGTGCTGAGCAACAGCTCCTGGTTTTGCATCGGGCCTTAGGTTGATCTCCCAGCTGTCAGCTTGCAGTGATAAAGAACAGGACTCTGCACTGCTCAGAGCTAATCAGAGAACACAATAATCATTAAAAAAAAAAAAAAAGGCTCCACATCAACATGTTAGAATGCTACACCGCACATCCTCGCAGTCATTGGTTGATTCAAAAATCTCTTAGTAGCTGAAAGGCCCACCGGCCAATAAGGGAAAAGGAGGTTAAGAAAAGGGAGCTCCTTCCTGTGTGGGAATAGAGGCCTTTGAGTTCAGTAGACCACTTTGGGGGGAGTAAAGGAGGAACACAGGGAGCCCCCTCCCCCGCCCCTTGCTTATCATCTCTTGTAATGGTTGGGCGCATCAGCGAAGGCAAACTTCAACCTGTAGGCTTCAGCCAGCAGTACGCTCACTTCCTCGTTGCCCCAGTGCATCGTGGGAAGGTTCTGTAAGAGGATCATCAGGCCCTGATGAAAGAACAAAGACATTATTTAGACGCAAAACCGCAAGATGCATGACGGCAAGATCTAATCAATCTAATCAGCTTCAGAGAGAAAAAAGATTTAAAAAGTAAAACTCAAACACTGGAGAGTGTGTGTAGGGGCCAAAGGAAAATATTGATGCAAGAGGAAAGGCAAAGATAAATGTGTATCTGATCAATATTAAAAGAGGCTAGAGGAGGACATGAGGAAAGAAAAAAGGGAAATCACAATCTGTGGGCAGCAGCTGATGAATTTTTATACTGTCGGCTATTATATCCACACAAAACTAGGGATTTTTCAAGCTCAGCAGCGTGGCTTCAGGTCAGAATCACGCTCGTACATTGATTCCTCTGTACCTGACAAGGAACCAATTTGGGGGGTCGAGGTGCTGTACTTATTATAAATGAGAGTGGAAGCACTACTTCTGTCTCACAGTAATGTAAGACAAAGCTGGTACATGGTTAGGCAATCAATGAGAGAGAATAAGAGAGAAAAAGAGTCTGGGCTCTTTGCTTCACTTAAGGACAGAACTTTAGAATCCATCATCTTGTAATTATATTCAGAAAATAAAACTTTCTGTATCCCAATTTGGATCTATGCCTTTTCCAGAGATGGTAGGACCTCACCGTCATCTTATAGGACCTAAATAATAATAATAATAAAATTCTTTTAAAAGTTGAACAATATCCATCAGTCAAAACACTGAAATAAATCAAAAAGGTGGCTCTCCTGGCTTTTAAACAACAAACAGGCAGGGAGACGAACAAGAGATGCTAATAAATGACCTTGTAAGGTAATGTGAACATGTAGCCAGCTTAACCACCAGGGCAAAGCAGCAATTGCACTTTACCAAAAAAGTCAAAAATCACACTCTCTCTCACGCACATACACAAATGCCCCCACCAACCAGAAGTGGATTTGGCCATCTGCTGATAGCCAAATATTCATCCCGTTGGCCAGCTCAAAATGAAAGTGGTCTGCTTTGTTCTCTGGCCAACTCTCAGTCAGTTGTAAATGTGCTTGCTCCAGTTTAGCTGCTCTCTGGGTCACCTTTTCATCTAGCAGGTGAAAAGGTGACCTAGTTGTACTTCTTCTCTGGAACTCAAGCAACACCCAGCAAAGAACTCTAGACGAGCTCTTCCTTTGGCAAAGAAAAAACAAGTAGAGCCAATACAGCTGCACCACTTCCCTCGACCTGGTACGCACTGCGTTTGATAAAAGGTCTGCCAGGATTACGAGCTTTTAATTTGTGTAGATCTGGCTAATGTCAGAAGCTGGGTGCAATGTTTTAATTAAATGCCTTGGCTTGTTGTCTGCCTTTTATATATATTCTTTTTTTTTTTGGCATTTTCAGCCTTTTCTTGAAAGTTGAATACAGCGCGCAGACAGGAAAGCAGGGAGGGAGAGGAATCATGCACAAAATGACCTGATGTGGACTTGAGTCCGGGATCCTATAGTGGCCTTAAGCATATAAGATTCCCTCTCCACCAGGTAACTTATACACAGATGCCTCGTGTATGGTGTCTGCTCAGTTTGTTCCCCTTAATCGGATCCAAAGGACATAGGAAACAGATGTGATAAACATAAGCACATAACGAATGCGCAGAAAAGCTTGGAAGTACAAAGCTGTACTCTCAAAATCTTTGGGGTGCATGGACTCAGGAATCGGGGACTGGCTAAAAAGGAGAGAGACCATCAAAATCCAGCATCTGTGGAAGTATGGATCTCTGCACATGGATGTGACTTGCACATCTATGAAGGCATCATTAATGCTTGATGATAAAAACATCCTCTGGTGCAACATAGACAGGGAAGCTCATCTTAGTGAGAGAAAGCCAAACCATACACCACATATTACAGCCGCATTGCTAAGGAGAATTGCCCTGCATGTGCATCATGAACATTTCTGTCCAGAATGCTGCTGCAGGTTACTGACAAAGCAGTCCTGCACTGGCTCCCCATGCATTACAGAATACACTAAATGTGAAAGTGTTCGCATTTAGAGCCTTAAACAGTCTTACATCTGCATATGTGGTCAATACGCTGAATACATACATTCCCTCAAGATCCTTTCGTAATCCTGATTTCAAAATGGGGAGGGCGGGTCACACCTATTCTGTCATCGCGCTACGACTCTGGAATAACCTCCAAATGACCTCAGGAAAGCGTCAGCTACGACTGTCTTTAAGACGTTTTAGAAATGTGCTAATCTGAACTGCTGTTGGAGGGCAGGCTGCTGTGTTATTTTATGTAAAGACTGTAAATGTGGGTAGAGAAAACTCTAAGAACCCATTTATTTTTATTGGTTTCAAACATAAAACTTATTTACTTACATAAATTTCAAAATGAGAGGTCTGCTCAGTTCAATTATTGATTGTTTCTTTGTTTAGCTTTTAATTAACACAATGTTTCCATGATCATCTTTCACTCAAATCTTTATATTAAGTCTTTCTGTTCTGCTTTTCATTTTCATTTTACCATCTTTAAAAAAAAGTGTACAGGTACACCAAACCCAGTATAATAATTAGTGTATTTAGACGGATAACACCAAGATGCACACTTGCGGTTCTGGTTTGCACAAGGTACTGTAGCAGACAGGCACAGTTACACTTGCTTTTGTGTGTGTGTGTGTGTGACACAGATGTTATTAACTCAGTCAAAGTGGTTTAATAACAGCTGTGAGACAGAAACAGAAAAAAGGGGTCCAGGGTATGGTGTGAGAGGGAAAGAGAAAAAAAAATCAGGAAAGAAAGAATAAAATGTCAAGTACAATTCAGTGGAGCTTGAGCCTTTCCCCAGATTCCTGTTTTGTACATTACTGGGTAAGTAAGGAGACAGACAACAGCGACACACACTCGCACACACACATGCAAGAGTTCAATCTCACCGACTAATGCCTCTCTCTCAAAGGGGAATGAGACTGGTTAGCAGTGAGAGAGAGCGTTTGTGTGTGTGTGTGTGTGTGTGTGTGTGTGTGTGTGTGTGTGTCTGCATGCTACGGATCAGTGTCCCATGAGCTTTCATCATCAAGGCTGAAATCATTGCCGTGACAACAGGGTTTACAACCAATCACGCTGCTGATAATCACATCGAAGGACAAATCACGTTGGGACTGTGGTGTCTACACTCATCTGAGTCCTAAGCAGTTCGCTGCTATCCGAGAGGATGTGACCCTGTTACAAAAAGGATTCGAAGACGCTTTTAAATGCCGAAACCTAATCGCGTCGCAATCGTGGTTTTAACCATTACGCTGCGGACGCGTCGATGTGCTCCTGCATCTTCACGCTGATCTTTCTACGACTACTGAGAAAGTCAAACTATACAAAACTTTAAGTGGGGATATTTACTACAGCAAGGCACTTTGTATTAGTTTACCCTCCTACGTATTAAATTGAAGGTGTTTGGCTCCATTAATTTTTTTCCCATCCTCGCTCGGTTTTAATGAGGCGGTGAGACGACCCCGGTGACTTTTCACCAAAAATCATTTGTATTCTGAGCGAGGGAGGGGGGTGGGGGGTGTGTGTGTGTGGGGGGTGGGGAGGAGGAAAAAAAGCACATGCTTTCTTCAACTAATTAAGCTCCAAGCTGCCATCCTGGCTAGATATTTTCTGAGATCAGGCTTTCGCTTCACCCCGGTCTTCTGAATAAGTTATAGGTGAAGTCAGCTGAATACCAGTTTTGACATTCAGCTGATGTAGAAATGTGTTTTTCCAGGAGACTAGTTGCAGATTACTTTATTGACTGACTTTGATGGACCTGAGGCCCTTGGAATGCGTTAAAACCTTGCCGGAGTTTCTCAAAAGGGAAAAAAAAAAAAATAATAATACAAATTTTCACAGGTACCGAGCGAGCGCTGATAAAAATGTTAACAAATTCGGCCTCTAGTGTTGTTAAACATGAAAAAGGATTTTCAGTTCAGGATCAGATTTCCTCTAAAGTACTGCTCCATATCTCTAACATCAAAATCCACACGCTTGTTAATTCTACAGGGACGGGGAGGGGGTGGCCCTCCCTGTAATAGCTGCACCTTTGAGAGGAGGGCCTGGACGTTGACTTTGAAAGGTTGACCTACTGACTTCCCCCTTGGTTCAGAAAGACACAGTCCTCTGAAGTATTTTCACTCAGAGGGATGGAGCGGGAGACAGAAAAAAGAGAGAGCGAGCGGAAGGAAGAGTGGAAGAAAGCCTGATCAGAATTCAGCTTGCCTCTCTCTCATCTGTATTCAATAGAGCATCACTATCAGCTCTCTCCTTTCATCACTCATGCTCTCTCTCTCTCTCGAGTTCACGTTCACACACACAAGTTGGAAATCTGCAAAATTTGCTCACAGGCAGCAGAGTGTTATGCCTTCTTAGGACAAATCATATAAAAGAAAAGAAAAATTAAATGAATTGTTTTGACCTGGAGATGTCCTGCTCAATATCTGTCTAATAAGTTAAGCCAATAACAAGTTTTTTTTAAATATAAACAGAACAAAAAAGAAGAGCAAATAACTAAACATTTATTTAATTTTATTTAATACCACAGCCAATTCACTATAGCTTGACTGCAAACGTACCTATAAGCACAGTAGTTTTGGGGGTGAGACACCACGCACCTCCCCTACTGCACCTCAAAGCCTCAGGCTCTTTTACAAAAAGAAAAACTCCCTGGGGACTTGCAACACTCTTGATGTTGTAGCCAAGATTTTTCCTGGATATTATTCAGCAAAAGCACAATCTGCAATCAGTTATGACTTACTGGTGGCCTCGGTGTCGCGAGGCTACCTATTGTTATTACCCCAGTTTAACCTGGAGAAATTCCCAAAGGCTGAAGTAACAAGGTTTATTGTCACAGAGGAAGTAAATTCATGACGGCTGAAAAGGACTCAACATCTTTACAGCAGAAATGAAGCGGGGAGAAAATCTGTCAAGGATGAAGAGCTTTAAAAAAAAATGTCTTGAAGATGCTGTCAGTAAAAAAAAAAAATATTAACCACTTCCAAG